AATAGAATCAATCAAATATAGTATCACAAAAAACTTGGCAGACAAGAGACTTCTATATAACAAACCATCAAGATATCTTACACAAGAATGATCATAAAATCATGATTACTAAAATTGAAACATGGCAATTCAACCAATACAGATATCAAAAAATTCATAAAAGCAATTAATAATACAATTGCATAGAAAAAACACCATGCAATGGAAAAAATTTAAGAATGTTATCAAGAATAATATAGAAAGGGAATGCAAGTCTGAGCAAACAGAAAACATAATAGCAGCTGAAACAAATCCAAACATTTTATTTTGGCAGCAGCTAACAAAAATATACCTAGGGTAAAGTCTTAGAAGAGAAACATGAACATGGGAAAACCCCTAATGTTATATAGAAAAATTATCAACATCCTGATACTCTTCAAACTTCTTTAAAGAAACATTGACACCCCTAACAAACACATATAATTCTTAATACAAAAAAAAATCAGCAGCATAGAGAAGGATTTCCCAGAACTTATAGAAGAACTGGAGATATGCAAAGACATCAATTCACAGAAGCAGCAGACCCATTTGAAAAAGATATGTAGAGAATACATCATCCAATACAAAACTGTAGCCAAGCTAATAGCCAGCCACAGAAGAAACAGAAGAATACAACAACACACAGAAAGAAGGCAGCAATAGCTGCTGGACAATAAGCGGTCAATTATAAACAGCATCATGGAAAAGCCTAAAAGATCCATCTAATAATAGAAAGAGAGGATCAGATAGAGATAATCATGGAATCAGAAGAAAGGTAGTAGTGCATTTCGAGACCTGGATCTGTCAGAGAGAAACAATACTAGTGGAGAGCTCAGTCAGATGGGCAGAACAGTATGCACCGAGCAATAAGATCCAGGAAAGCTGGTTCAGCAACCTACTGGAACCAATCAACACCCGGACCAGACGACATCCATACATAGCCTATAAAAATCTAGGGCCAAAAGCCCTCCCACGGCTTACAAAACTGTATAACAGGATCCTAATACGTATATCTTTATAATAATAAATATTATCTGAACTATTATTTTATACTGTCAAAGTTTTTTAAGGAACTCGTGCTTATAACTCATAATATGAATGTTCTGAATCCGAGTTAACCAGCCCTGATGCTGAATTTTCAAATTAGATTAGAAAGTCTGTAATTTATACTTCTCGGTTCTAAGTGTATGACAATTATAAATAGAATCCATATATTAGTCTCGGATTCATAATAATTTTCGATAGATTTATCTTTATAATTAATGAGGATACAGTATGTATTAGACAACAAATGCATTATTACTACTTTTTGTAAATGACGAAATACAATAAATATCAATTTTATAGTAGTTAAAAAAAAAAAAAAATACAATGAATAGGTTGGGTCGATAGCGTGATAATAATTGTTAGTGATATTAATAAAATAAAATTATTTGAAAATTTAAAAAATTATTTATAGATAGAAAAGGCTAAAATATTAAGAAACAGCACCCGATCATTCTTCTTTCAAAATATTTAATCGTTTCAGCAACAAGGACCGCCTGGATCATTATAATCCTCGAAGCAACGTCCTCCGTAACACTTTAAGTCGCCCGAACAATCTCCATCATCTTGACATGGGTCACCATTGTCACAGTCTTCCTTGTTGCCACCAGGGGTACAACGTTTCATGAGGTAATGGGTTCGAACTGCAATGAAAGAATTAATGTATGATATCTTGATGGTTTGTTATATAGAAGTCTCTTGTCTGCCAAGTTTTTTGTGATACTATATTTGATTGATTCTATT